GGGGGCTGGGGAGGAAAGCAACTTTTTTCTAATTTTTGTATTGGTACCCACAAGCGTTTGTATTTTTTGAATTGCAAACACTGTGTTTTCTGGTCTTTGGGGGTTGGTTGAACTTTGTGTATTGCCTTTTGGAAAACCTGAGTTTTATCAGTCTTAAGCAGATTTGAAATAAATTCTTTTGACACTGCCAACAACTGAAAGGCAAGGTACAGTCTGTGATTACTGCTCAGCCCCCTGCAGGCCCTGAGTGCCAGTGGGCGGGCGGCCGGGGCGGAGGCTGCAGGAGGGGAGGCCACCCTGTTTCTCACCTGGAGGGCCTGGGCCTTGGGAGGCGCCAGGGTCAATATGGCCACGCTGCGCATGCCCATGAGATCTTGAGGTGATTCCATGACTCTCGATGATAGGGTCCATCTCAAACAAGGGGGAGTTCATGCATTCATTCTTGCAAGAGGTGACAGGGCTGGAAACTGGTAACAGGTAACATTCTGGTTAAGATACATCCATGAATAAAACACTGATCAGGGGTTACAAGAAATTGAGATTTGGAGAAGACATCCTAATAACCTATGAGCCCCAAGGACCTCGACCAGCCCCTTCAACCACACAGACTGAGCCCAGGTGTGTCTGACCTGAAAACTCTGTCCTTGTGGACTGCCTCAAACTATGATCCTCAGGAGCACCCGTCTCACATGCCTCCCAATGGCCCCTTGGGCCTGGCCTCACGGTTCAGTTACCTGCTGGATCCCCGAACGGCTTACCTGGGTAGGGGCGGCTGTGGACTGAGATGAGGCAGCAGGGCATTTACTAGCGGGTGCTCTGCCGATCGCCCCCCATGGAAGCAAAGGAAGCAGGACTGGCCATGGGGGGCGGGTGCGGGCGGGAGTCGAGCTGTGACACAGACCCAGCAAGGGCCTCAGCCAGTCTGGGCTGGGAAGGGAGCACGGGGCCACCCCGGGAGGGAGGTGACGCGATCCCCGCTCAGAACGATGAAGCGAGAAGTACTGGTTCCTGAAAGGGGCCCTGAGAGAGGCATCACAGTGCCCACCACCAGCACCCCCGTGCCACAGACCCACACTTCCCCCAAGTCTGGGGAGAAGCTCTTCCGGAATTCCAGTGGGGGAAGCTTAGGTAAGGCCAGGGACTCGAACTACATTCCACGGGGCTGTAGCTGGTCTTGGAGCTGCAAGGGACGCTCATGGTCTGCCTCCTCCCCTAGTCAGTCTGGACTCCACTCGCCCTCTGCTAATCGTGATCCAGACCCTCATCCCTGGGGGTCCGAGCCTCAGGTCACCAGGCCCTTCTCCCCCAGGGTTGCTGCATTGGTCTATTTACCATCAAAATCAGGCAAAAAGAATATGAAGAGATGCCTGAGGGGAGACGGCCTGGGTGCAGCTTCCTCCCGGCCCCACTGGGTGACAGTAGCCCTAGCTCCCCTTGATGGTCAGGGTCACCCCTGCCAGGTGTGGCTCTTCTTGCCTGGACAAGAACCTTGTTCAGTGGGGCATGTGCTGTGCTGTTTCTTCCTTGGGGAAGCAGGGTCTCCAGGTCCATGGGGCCAAGAGTCGTGGGGACAGGAATCTCAAGGTCCCTGAGAGGGTCACTGGGAATAACTGTAGGCGGGGTGTCGTGTGGAGCAACGCTGATCCACCAGACTGTGTCCAGGACTGGAAGAAAACCCCACAAAGGGGAAACAGCAGTATGTAGACAGGAAGGGAACGTTGATCCACTGCACTGAAGCCCAGGTCCCTTTCCTTTGGGGCTGTTGTCAGAATCTCCATTATAACCATCTTCCTTTGGATGCCTGTTTTTCATGGAGGCTTCTCTCTGTTGCTAATCTTGCTGGAAGAAACTTTCTCAACGGGGAAATAAAAAGCATGGTCTTCGGCCTGATCTCCAGCCCTTAAAATACAGGTTTCTTTTAGCCTCTAAGCATCTGAGTATTTCTAGAGCACCTGGTGGTAACAAAACCACTCTTTAAGTATTATTTCAGTAAATTAAAAAGTGAAACCCAAACAAGGTAATTTATACTTGGAACTGTTCCAGAATTGACTAGCCTGTGGCTCCGGAGTCTGGCTAAGCGCTCAGCTGTCTCCGACACGCGGCTCGTGGAGGCAGGGGGGAGGTGCAGCTGCCTCGATCTGGCTCTCTGTAAAGAACTGGCAGGTCACTTCTAGTGCCTGACATGTTTCCTGGTGCTTTGTCATGCTTGGGATCTTCCACACCTTTAGAAAAAATCACCCTTAAAAACTGACAAAATATATATCCAGCCGAGTACAGCCTTCCAAAATGAATTTGGAAAACAGAACACCGACTGCACTCTTGCTTCAGCTCAGAGCTTTCGTGGAGCTCCTCGTTCGGCCATGCCTTTGGGGTCAAGTTCTGAGCCACACAAGAACATCAGCCGTTTAAGCCCCTTTGTTTCGGCCAAACCCTTATTATTTACTAGGTTTGGATCAGAATTTTTTGGTCATAAAAAAAAAGTCAAAATTGATTACCACCATTGAAGACCTTTTTTATGTGTCACAAGCTTTGAGACGTTCCAGACACTTTCAGCAAGTGCAGTATCATTAAAAAATAAACGTTCAGCCACCCAAGGTGATTATTTGGAAGGAGGTAACATTAGCTTATGTGTAGGTATTAGGACATAAATTAAAATCCTCGGCTGTGTTAATAGTCACAGCTACATATACCACAAAGTTGTGTTTTATTTACGTAACTTCTTATGAAGGACATCTTACACACTTGGGAGGTTAAAAATTACAACTGCTTTTCCCACAAGACAGCTGCCAAATTATCACACTGTTGGTTCTTTCATGATATAGTAACATTACACCACTTTTAGAAAATAAAAGTCAATTTGGGGGCACCTGAGTGGCTCAGTCGGTGAAGCGTCCGACTCTTGATTTTGGCTCAGGTCACGATCTCAGGGTTGTGCAACTGAGCCCCACGGAGAGTCTGCTTGGGATTCGCTCGCTCCCTTTCCCTGCCCCTCCCCCTGCTCATGTGCTCGCTTGCTCGCTCTCTAAAATAAACAAATCTTTAAAAAAAAAGGAAAGGCAATTTAAAGCTAATTATTAGCATTTACAAATCAATAAATTACTAAGTTTATGAAAAACCCCATCACAAGCAAATGCACAAAACGCCAGGGAAAGCGATTCTAGTGTAACTCTCACTGGACAAGATTAAGCATCCTTTTCAATAGGTCTGCTTTATACTCCCAGTGCAGCTGGCCCTTCCCACCATACGCTCATCACCGTAAAACAGACGCTTCAGAAACTACAAATTTTTTTATTTCTATCTGATGTTTTTTTTCTCTAAAAATAGAAAAGCAGTCTATGAATTATAAAATAAATAAGAATAATCTGGAAGTCATGTAGGGGTCCAGTTGCAATGCAGCGGCACTTTCCTGTTCCTCTATTTTACGAAGGACTTCACTTAGCCACTCGGGTGGAATTTATTTTCTTGATATCAACCTGGCTCAGAATCAGTGTCCCATTTTTGAATCTTCCAACCTGCCCGATCCGTCCACTGGACAAAATACTGGGAGCTGATTTCTTCTTTTTGGATTTCCTGCAGTGAAAGGGAAAGAAAGGTACCAGAGTTAAGCTTACGAAGAGGGACGGCAGCACCATCAACCAGGTGACCGTGGTCTGCTCCTGCAAACCCCTGGGGTCCTCTGTGCACACCATCCTCCACCGCCCTACCGCAACGACCACCCGCCTTCCTGTGGTCCCTAAAACAGGCCAGCTGCCTTCCTGTCTCAGGGCCTTTGCACTGGCTTCTTCTATGCGGAATGTTCTGCTACAGATCCTTCCAGGCTGTTCCCTCTTCACTCAGTTCTCAACTTGGAGGTCACCTCCCTAGAATGACATCCTGGCCCCCCCACCCCCAGGGATTTTCTTTTTTAATGCTTTATTGCAACCTCTTCACAGAACCTGCCAGCACCTGACATCCCTTGCTTAGTTGTTTGTATGTTTCGGGGTGTTTCCCTCACTACAATGTAAGCTCTTCAAAGGCAGGTACTAACCACCCCCCACCCCACCCCCGGCACCCCGTGCGATCATGGCTGAATCCTCGACACCTGACACCTAAGACACCTACATGCCTGGCACGCAGGGGACCCTCAGACAGACAGACATATGTGGCCAGGACAAATGACCACCTGTGTGCAAGCTCACTAGGAGTCCAAGCAAAAGCTTAAGACAAAAGAAGTCAATTTTGAAACAGTAATTCAAGGAGCGAGAAAAGGCATTTTTGAACAAAAGCTAAGAAACTAGCACGAAGCAACAGAATCAATGCTCCGTTCCTCGGACCATGGTGCTCTGCTTCCTGTGGTGGGTCAGTGAACAGGACTGTGCTGCCACGTGGGCAGGTTCTTAGCGGGGTTGGGAATGGGAATCTCGGTTTCTCCACGAGTCACTTGAGCTGTCTGATCTTTGGAAATGGGAGCCTAGAGAAGATTCCTGATTCAGTTCTGAGGGAGCTGTTCTATCTGGGACAATGTCTTCCCCTGTCTTCCCCTCCTGGGACTTGCTGAGAATGCAGGAGGGACAGCGAAGCACTCTAACAGGCTAGAAACACCCCGTATACTCAGGATGTCATCTTCAGAACTAATCAATAGGTTTATCCAGATCACTCCACCCCAGTACCTGAGGATGTCACTCACCTGTCTTCCTGCCCTCTCCTCTTCTTTTTCTTAAAAATATCTGTGTCCTGGGCCTGATTTCAGAATTTAAGATATTATATGAGTCAGTAATGGATAATGGAGATTCAAAAACAGACTAGAGGTTTGTGTTCAAAAGCCAGTGAGATACCATTTACTTTTCAACTTTTTCTCAAGCAGGCAATATTAAACATACACTCGGTTTCATCCTGAAACTCTTTCAAGAGCATGAAAGGTCATTCCAGAAAAGACTGACAGGAGAAACGTTCCATCTTCCATTTTAGGGGAAAGGGAGGGAGCACAGCATGTACCCCTCTGTGGTTTGCCAGAGGCCCTTGTGTTCTGTACAACCTAAAACGCAACATGGGAAAAAGATCACAGTAGCTGACGTGACCTGAGCAGGAACTTGCTATTTCAAAGCAAACCTCTCACGTGAATATGCCAGCTTCCCTGGCTGGTGCTGCAAATGAAGCTGACCTGAACAGGTGGAGAGAACGATCATGTCACTCTCCATCTTACTGCGGTCTACACTGCCTCCCAAGTAGCAGGTCCAGCATTCCACTGTGGCCAATCGCAGCCACCTTCCCTTCTAGCTTAGTAACAAAAGGGCTATTACTCATACCGTTCTCTTTTCTTCTTCTTTTGCTGTCTTCTTTTCTTTGATTTGTTCCTGCAACACCTTGTAATTCACGTAACTGTTTTTGGGAGGCTGAAATGCAAGGGGGAAAAAAAAACCAAGAGATATCATTTTTTATTTTGCAAGATCTCCTAGTGCCCCCTGCCCTGCCTTGCCCTGGGCTCTCCCCTTTCCTGTATGTATCCTGTTGACGGAAGACAGAAGCAGCCCCTCACCTTAGCACCCAGCATGACGGCACGTTCCCGTTCCAGGATTCGTTCCTTCCCTTTTCCATAACCCCTGATCCCAAACCGGTGCACTTCCAAGCGAGCCTGTAGACGCAGAGTGGAATGAGCCCACGTGCATTCCAGAGACTCCAGAGAAGAGATCTATCCCTAGGAGTAGCCCACACCTGACACGATGGGCTGTAGTGAGAAGTCTGTCGTGCTGTGCTTTACAGAGCTTTGTGGAGGTCTTACATAATTTCTTACCATAACCTTACAACACTCATTCTCCCATGTTGAATTTTTAACAGTTGAAGCAAAGACTTACCAGCACACAAATGAGCAACAGAATTAGGATTTTTTTTTTTT